TTCAATGTGTAGAGTTTCTTTGCTTGTTTGTTCATAGTTACTTCCAGCAGTGGTGTCATGAACACACCAGCTCCAAGTGTAATCTTGCAGCTGGCTGCAGAATGCAGTCAGGAACAGGGAGGCTGGGCTTTCACGCCAGCACAGGAGAGCCCGCAGCTGCCAGCATCAACTTCTCCTGACCTTGGATGGCCAGCTGATAAGGGAGGAACGGAGAGCAAGCTGGAACACAGCCAAAGCTCCCCAGAAACCCAAACAGGTACGGAAAGCCACAGAGACAGCTTTTTGGAACTGGAAGGGGCTGCAGCTGACCAAATAAGTCTAATTGGTAGCCAGTGCAGTCAGACCAGGATTGGTGTAATATGTTCAAGCCATCTTGCTCCAGTGAGCAACCTGGCAGCTGAATTCTGCACTAGCTAAAGTTTCCAAACCGTCTTCAGAGGCAGCCCTACATATAATTGAAATGTGCTCACAGGCTCCATAACTACCCCTTGCCTAGGACAACTTCCTATATTGCTTTCAAGGCTTTTGCTGCATTGGTTGATTTTGGAGACCACATATGCAGTTACTTCGAATTATCTCCCGACCTATTTATCTGAGGCAAGCCCTACTGAACTCGAGAGGACTACCTTATGGGTAAAAAATAAACCAGATAAACATAACGCAGGTTGCTTTTTTAAAAAAACAATCTTTGGCTGCCTCAAATTTAGAAGTGCAAAGCTTGTCCTTTCAGCAGTCTCTGAGATGCAGCGAAGCATATGGGAAGATTGGCAAGTCTGTTTAAAAGGGAAAAAACCATCCCAATGCATTTAGGCATGGACCAACCAATCCATCTCTCCTTGACAGTTGCAGAATGTTTATAACTTTGGCTAGTTTTCCTTCCCACCCCACCATCAGCTCAAGTCTTGGGGCTTGGGGTTGCACGATAGTTACTGAGATCGTAAAAATATTCCCACGATGCAGCTGCCTTGCACCTTCACATGCAAACATTATACAGTCAGAAAGAGGAGGGTGCAAATGAGCAATCGCTGTTTGTTTCCCCTCTCACTCCTGCCCTTTGGGCTTTTTAGTACAACGCCTCCATTTAAAAAAAGAATCAGGAAACTTTGCATGGCAACGATAGTGTACAATAAGCATATAAAGGCAGGAAACAACAGTACTCTGCACTCAGCGTGGGGCGAGTACTCGTTTCAGAATAGAACCTCCGAGTGCATTCTCCATGGTCGCTGCTGGAAGCTTCCTCCGTACAACAGGCAAGCAAAGTAATTGGAAAAACGTGGCTGCACACGACAGGCTTTTCGTTTTCATGGCAGATTTGCATCAGATTGCCTTTATCTGGGAGACCCTTGATCACCAGTTGGAAAAGCAGCTGGCGCACTCTGCTTGAGCTGAGTTTGGACACCGGGGAATGCCGCATCATCAATGCGTTTTAAGTGCGCCCATCAGCGCTGACATAAACAGCCGCATCAGCCACACAAGGCAGCTTCCCTCCAGTTTACTGCACAGTTTCACCGCACAGTGTGAAAATGGAACCAAATAAGAGGAATGGTTCTGGTTCATCCTTTTTCCTTTCCTTCCCCCCCCCCACCCTTGCTTGCTTCCTTCCACTCCCTCCCCCCCCCCCTCCCCAGTTATATTGTTCAATTTAGTCCTGAGCATTATAGCCTGCCAGTGCCAGTCTCGGGATTTACAATGTTTAATATTCAACAGTCGGTTAAGCTGTGAAATTAGTTAAAACGCCTTTATGAGGTCCTAGGCCCTCTGGTTCCCTTTCTCTATTTTTCACGTGCAAGTCAAAATAAACAGAACATCCTTCTGGGTGGCTGGGGAGGGAAGATTGCGTGTGCTCAATGGGGTGATGAAATGAACTCGCCTGCCAGTGTTCTCGTGGTCTCTGTTGGATTGCAAGAGCTTTATGCAACGTGTTAGATTTTTAAAAAAAATCTTATTGACCAAAAGTTGCAGCCGAATCACAGCAGTGACCTTTCATTCAAAAGACAAAGCTTCCCCACCCCAACAGCTACTTCATCCCACATGCTGTATGCTAGCCACATACAACGTATTAACAGCTTTAATACCTTCCAAACACGTTTCCCCCCAGAGTAAGTCTCCATTGCCTTCTCCATAATATCCAAATGGATAGTATTGTTTTATGACACCGTGACACGTTTGAGGTAAATAAACAATGTACATCACCCAACAGCTCACAGTGCAAAGGATTTGCAACGCATGAAAAGGTTCCTTCCAGAGCAGATATCTAGTCTGTATCACGTAGGCAGAGCAATCCTGTTTTTCATGTTACACCGGAGGAGAAGGGATGCTGCCACTGCCCTGGTGGAAGAGCCACACAATCCACAGTGCGATCAAACCCAGCAGGGAAGAGGACAAAACACAGGCGACAAGCATGGTGGGAGCTGGTATTAATGATGTGGCATCCCTGGGGACACAGTCAGTGCCCACCAATCAAAGACTGTGGTGCCAGTGAAACTCACATGCCATCCACACACTGAGGGAGCCAGTGAACTCATCACTGTGGGAACATGCCGCTGCCACAACACACATGCTAGTATCTCCATACACAAAATGCGGTAAGGGTAAGGTAAAGACATGGGAAGCGGGTGGCGATGTGGTCTAAACTACTGGGCCTCTTGGGCTTGCTGATCGGAAGGTCGGTGGTTCGAATCCTCGCAACAGGGTGAGCTCCCATTGCTCTGTCCCAGCTCCTGCCAACAGCAGTTCGAAAGCACACCAGTGCAAGTAGATAAATAGGTACCACTGTGGCGGGAAGGTAAACGGCATTTCTGTGTGCTCTGTGTTATATACTGAAGGTCTCACCATGGGCCAGCAGGGGGATACTGTAGATAGTTATGCAAATAAGGCATCAAAAGTAACGTTCAGTGATTGGATAGTTTTAGAAAATAGTTACAGTTACATTGTACTGGAGCTCTATATAAGCAGGCTGACTGAACCCTTCAGTTCAGTTCTGTTCTGGCCTGTGAATAAACAAGAGCTGGTTGAAGAATCGCTGTGTCGTCTGGTATGTTCACCCACAACTTAACACTCTGGTTTGCATCACAGTGTTTCGTTGTGCCAGAAGCAGCTTAGTCATGCTGGCCACATGACATGGAAAGCTGTCTGCAGACAAACGCCGGCTCCCTCGGCCTGAAAGCGAGATGAGCGCCGCAACACCATAGTCGCCTTTGACTGGACTTAACCATCCAGGGGTCCTTTACCTTTACACAAAATGCACAAGATGGCATGACAGCGCCACCACCTTGGCAGCCCCGGCACCACAGCTAATCCTCCTGGAAAGGATTTAAATTCCCTTCTTCTGCTCACAGTCAAGAGTTTTGGAGCACAACACGCAACAGGGAGGAAGGAGCAGATGTACAACACAGCGCAACATCTACTGGACATATTTTCCTGGGCAGGATCCCTGAATGGAGGACACATAACTCCTCCAGAGGCAAGATGTTTGAGACCCACCCTGGGAGAGAAAATAACCCTTTTGACAAGCAGCTAAGGGAAGAGGCCAGGAAATGGAGGAAGAGCCGTGTTGTGGGTGTTTGTGTGCACCTATAGCTTGACAGCGAGGGGACGCGGGTGGCGCTGTGGGTAAAACCACTAGAGCTTGCCGATCGCATGGTCGGCGGTTCGAATCCCCGTGGTGGGGTGAGCTCCCGTCTTTCAGTCCCAGCTCCTGCCCACCTAGCAGTTCGAAAGCACGCTTAAGTGCAAGTAGATAAATAGGTACCGCTTTATAGTGGGAAGGTAAACGACATTTCTGTGTGCTGCACTGGTGCTGGCTCGCCAGAGCAGCTTCGTCACGCTGGCCATGTGACCCGGAAGTGTCTCCGGACAGCGCTGGCCCCCGGCCTCTTAAGTGAGATGGGCGCACAACCCTAGAGTCGGACACGACTGGCCCGTACGGGCAGGGGTACCTTTACCTATAGCTTGACAGCAGAGGCCTGTGGGGGCTCACGGCATTTGGCACAGGTTTGGGAAGCAAGAGGGAGGGCACTCCATGCAATGCAATTTAAAAACCAAGTATTAAGAACCAGGAAGAACACTTGTAAATGCTCTGTCTGCAAAGTTGTTTTTCAACATGTGTGTCTTTAACCATGTTATAAACAGGCCGTTGCCATTCCAAGGGAACGAGGGAGGCGTTCATGGCGAGTTCCGGCACCTCTTTTTCTAGAGAAATAGCACTAGTTATAAACCGTATTTACCTGTACAGAGAGGATGATCATCCACACAGTGCAAAACGCTTAAGGATTAATTGTGCACGATACAAGTTTATATGCAGATTCTTAATCCTGTCTACATAGCAACCACACAAGTCTCTTGTGCCACAAGCAGAATTTTGCAGTGGAGGAGACGGCTAGAGAAAGAACTCTCCTTTTTGCTTGAGAATGCAGCTGAGATTGAATAAATCTGAAATCTGCATTGGAATTAGAACGTGACAGTGTCTCAAAATGAGAAAAAATGTGTGGCAGTTCAAGTTACCCCCCCCTCCCCTTTTCCCCTTCTTTGGGAAAAAAATGATAATTATATGGCAGTGTTTCTTTGCCTTAATCTGTTTACAGAAATATTGAGAATGCATTACACAAACTGAATAACTCCCCCATATCTTTGTACTCCAAAATTTGCAGTTAATTAAACTAATTTGTCTGTTTTTGTGGGTTGGAAACTCTTGCTGTCATCCTTTCCAATCACTACTTATTTAAATTTCATCCTTGGCCAGTTTCATGATAATGTTTATCTGCTCCAGAGGATTTGAAATGAGAGCAATACACTGCCTTCCCATTTAATTTCTTTCTTAAAGCTGAGAAACCCAAGCATCAACTGGCCAGTTAGATAACACAATTTCGCTTGTAGGTTATTTGCTTAAGATAGCTGTGGGCTAATTTAATTCCTGAGTTACTTATTTACTGGTTCTGTTAGGGATTCCCTGCAGTTAAGAATGAACTGTGCACAGACTTTTGTAGAAAAAGGGGGCGGGGAGAACACAATCTGGAAGTTTTGTCCTAGAGGATCAGGTAAAACAAAAAGAGAAAAGAAAGAGAGGCAAAGAGACAGTTTTGAGGGGAATAAATTGCTTATTTTCCTATTAGCATGCATCTAAACTTCTTCCACTTACCTGAACAGAAAATTAATTCTGAATTGCTTTGCATATTTAGTGTTTGGAGATATGTACTTTGCATAATGGAGACATAAAGAAAAGGGCACTTTTATGCCAAAGTGATACCTCAAAAAAATAAGGATGCCAGACTAATGCTTTTCTGCTTTCAAACTGCATATTTTCCTCTCCTGCTAGCCAGAAACACCAACAGATAAGAGAAACAGGAAACCAAGGTATGTGCTGTTCTGGATTTTGTTTCTTTCAGGAAGCTTTATAGATGGTGATAAATTAATTTTCATTTTGTTACATTAATCTGCAAGGTGGGTAATTAACCTCAACTGTTGTACAAAAACAATGGAATGGGGCCCAGATATTGATTTGTGCCATATTTGATTGTTAACGGCACAGTAAATAAATAGCAGCAATATCTGGCGCACAAAAAGTCAAGAAAGCCAGGCTGATCCATGGCAGTGGGGAATCAAAATCACTCAGATCATACCTTCATTCAGTACCCCATGCCGGCATTTTTTACTCCTCCACCCCTCTGGTTTGGATAACATCTGGGTCAATGATGGTGAATTTTATGAACCCAAAAGCTTGTGAACTATTTTTAGTTGGTCCAAATAAAGAGATTGCCTGTCTGTGGGTTTTGAAACAATATCGAGCAAGTGTGGCGCATTCAAGCCACCTCACAAAACAAGCTGAGTACTTTCATTCCATACATGCCATCATTTCCCGTGTTATACGAATTCTGAGGTCTTATATGTACAAACACATAAGTATATAAACCAAATGTCTGAAATGTTAGAATTCCTGCTCCATGATTTCAGTCATGGGATTGTTGTCTATCACATGATGGTATATGTTTTGACTCCACAGAGTGGGAAGTGACAGAGACAGGATGTTTGTATTACCGTGTTCCATGAAGTGGGACTATTATCCTTTGTTCTTTTTCTTTGCTGTCTGATGCTAGAGAGAGAGGGAGCCACGTTGCGGTGCTCTGTGTGTGTTTATATGTAAATAAAGTAGATTAGCCAAAATGCTGAGTTGCTGAGGTTTGTTACACAAGCGGCAAAGACTCTGCGGATCCCTAAGTGTGCTGATGTCTGTTGGCATCAGTCACTGTGATGTTCGGGCTGAAGAAAGCTTTTGAAGCTCCTGAACAATTGACCAGGAGGGAGGGAACATGCCAGTCAGGCATGTGTCTCTATCAGGGTCCTACTCAAGTGTAGGACAAGCTCCTGACATGAAATAGTACAGGAGAACAATCATGAAGCCATTTTGACTCTCCCAATTTGACCTTGAATATTTTATCTGCAAGGAGGAAGGAAATGGGAAAAGCTTTCCAATTGTCTTTGGACTGTAGGGGCTTACACCTCCCCTTTTCAAATACAGTCTGACGGAAAACAGAGTGCACGGAAACGCTGTTTACCTTCCCACTGCAGCGGTACCTATTTATCTACTTGCGCTGGCTTGCTTTTGAACTGCTAGGTGGGCAGGAGCTGGGACAGAGCAATGGGAGCTCACCGCATCACGGGGATTCAAACTGCTGACCTTCCGATTGGCAAGCCCAAGAGGCTCAGTGGTTTAGATCGCAGTGCCACCCGCGTCCCCACCAGACTCAGTATTTTGCGGGCCCTTCAGTCTCATGCCAGCAAATGTAGGATTCCACAAACACTCTGGTGCTCTGACACAACAAGACGTTTTTGGAGATAGGAAAATGATTGGAGAATTAGACTGTAAAACAGAAATCACATAACAGGAAGCTGAGTAACCTACACACAAACAAATCAGGATGAATGCTCAATAAACAGTGGATATCATCTAACCTCCAGGCAAACACCTTGTTGTTGTTTAGTCATTTAGTCGTGTCCGACTCTTCGTGACCCCATGGACCAAAGCACGCCAGGCACTCCTGTCTTCCACTGCCTCCCGCAGTTTTGTCAAACTCATGTTCGTAGCTTCAAGAACACTGTCCAACCATCTCGTCCTCTGTCGTCCCCTTCTCCTTGTGCCCTCAATCTTTCCCAACATCAGGGTCTTTTCCAGGGAGTCTTCTCTTCTCATGATGTGGCCAAAGTATTGGAGCCTCAGCTTCAGAATCTGTCCTTCCAGTGAGCACTCAGGGCTGATTTCCTTCAGAGTGGATAGGTTTGATCTTCTTGCAGTCCGTGGGACTCTCAAGAGTCTCCCTCCAGCACCATAATTCAAAAGCATCAATTCTTCGGCGGTCAGCCTTCTTTATGGTCCAGCTCTTACTGGACAACCTCCAGGCAAACTCCTTATGCTCAATGAACAGCAAGTTTCATATAACTTCCATGCAAGCTTTGTGCAAACAGGTCAGGATGAATTCTCAATAAATAGGTCAACTGGAGGCACTCCTTGTGAATTCCTGACTGAGGCAAATTGGGGGTTTCCCAGTCTACTGTGGAAAGTGTACCAGCTTTCCATACACAGTAAATCATCAACGCAACACAGTGCTTGTTTGGTAAGGGATATAGGACGCCTAATCTATGCAGATGTGAAAGGATTGCATTCATTGACTACTTGAGCCAGATTTTTTTAAAAAAGGTCTGTTCTTTCAGAGGGTGCTAGCCCCTGCTCAATGCAAATAATAATCTGACAACTGTCATTTCTTGAGGCTGGGAGGTTGTTTTTTCGAAACACAAAGGGGCTTTTAAAGTGATGGTGTTTGTCTCAAACTGACCAAGATATCTCAAATAATAATTGCTACCATGACTGAGGTGAGAAGTCTGGAAATCCTGTCCTGAGAGGATTCTGCTGTTTCTCAGATTAAGGGATCTGGATAAACTGTATAAACATCCCTAGTGTTTGGGGTATCTTTGCACAGAGCTTTGATACAAATGCCCCCAAACCTGGGAATGCATGAAATCTGAAAAGCGATTTTGTGGCTTTGATGTACCTACTTTAAACCTTTTGTACTCAGTGCCTTTTGGTATTCACAATATGCAGCGAAAGCTGGTTCTCCTCAAATACTAACATATGCTATAGGCCAAGATTACCTAAAGTCACCAGTGATTTTAAGAATACTAATAAATCATAGAGCCTTCTCCCAACCATAGCTCCCAAAGAACTGGTTCTTACAAGTCTAATCTGAGATGGCTCAGTCAGTAGAGCATGAGACTTTTCATGTCAGGACTGTGGGTCTGAGCCCCATATCGGGTGAAAGATTACTGCATTGCAGGGGGTTGGACTAGATCAGGGTTTTCCCCCAACTTGGGTCTCCAGCTATCATTGGACTACAACTCCCATCACCCCTAACTAGCAGGACCAGTGGTCAGGGATGATGGGAATTGCTGTCCAAAAACAGCTGGAGATTCAAGTTTGGGAAACACCAGACTAGATAGTTCATCACTTTGAGAAGATCACTGCCAGTCCTTTTACGACAATTGGTAGATCACTGCCAGTTTTTCTATACTGTGAGTAGATCGCAGACTGTTGGGAGTTGGATGTCCCTGCCTTACACTGTTCTCTGCTGGCTTTTCTTGGCTTGGTCCATGCTGATTGCAGACCCTCGAAGTATCCCTATTTTCCAGGGATGTCCCTGATTTAGAGAAGCCGCCTCAGTTTCTGATTTGATCCCAGAATGTCCCACTTTTCCTTAGGATGTCCCTATTTTTGTTGGAGAAATGTTGGGTGGTATGGAGTTATCCGACCCCTGAGCCATCTGAAGGCAATCCTGTATAGGGAAGTTTTTATTTTAATGGTTAATGTTTTGTTGTGTTTTTATATATGTTGGAAGCTGCCCAGAGTGGCTGGGGCAACCCAATAAGATGCGTGGGGTACAAATAGAAAAATTATCATTAAGGAATGGGACGTCCCTATTTTCATCAGAGAATTGTTGGAGGGTATGTGATTGCATGACGATGCCCTGCTCTTTTGGAAGATATAAACCACCCTAACATCTACTTTAAAAAAGAAAAAAATGCTACATGGCTCAGGAGATTTGTTACACAGCATTAAAACAGCCCTTTTGAATGAGTTTCCTTAAGTTGTTTTGACATCACCTTCCAATATAGAGTTGGCTGCGAGAAGAGCACCCAAGGACAGAGCTTCTCTGACATGTGGCTTTCAGAGCCCCAGGTAATCTTTAGTCACCTCCCATATGTATGCTGCAAAGCAATCTGTCCCATGGACAGCCAGGGGAAATCTATGAACTCCATGTCCTCCTCCTTTTTAAAAAAATAATAACACATTTATTTCCATTTATCCCCACCCTCTACTAACAAGTATATTGATGTACTACCAACAGACGCATTGGATTCTTAGGAGGTAACCCAAAGTAGGACAGGGATGACTATCAAATGCAGAATTTCTCATCAGCTTAACCTCGATGTGTGGAGCACCTCCTACTGTAGGAGGAAGTTCAGAGAGTCCAACATGGAATGCATGTACAGTGGTACCTCAGGTTACAGACGCTTCAGGTTACAGACGCCGCTAACCCATAAATAGTACCTCGGGTTAAGAACTTTGCTTCAGGATGAGAACAGAAATCGTGTGGCGGCAGTGGGAGGCCCCATTAGCTAAAGTGGTGCTTCAGGTTAAGAACAGTTTCAGGTTAAGAATGGACCTGGCGAAAACCAGAGCAGCACATGGAAACACCATTCACCTTCCCGCCGGAGTGGTACCTGTTTATCTACTTGTACTTTTTGACGTGCTTTCGAACTGCTAGTTATTGCATAGCTACCTTAAAAATCCAGCCCCCTCACTTTGCCTTATTTACTTCACTTTTGCTGCTTTAAGGCACAGTTTCTCTGTTCCTTCCCCAGTGGAGGTTTTGTTTACCCTTGACGCTTGTGGGATTATTGATAATTGAACTCTTTTTTTAGGCAATTGTGTTGTGATAAGTTCCCAGGTGAGCAGTCTCAGGATGACTCAGGCATGCTCCCCATCCGATGGCACCATGGCGTTTTCACCTGCCTGATTACACGGCACATCAGAGAAAGGCGTTGATGCTACCTAATTGGCAGGATTTATGGCACTTTTGCCCTTTGAAGATTGTAGCCCTCGCAGACATCGATTGAAGTGGAATCTTAAAAAAGAAAGCAGGAGAACAACCCAACATCTTATCCTAATTTTAGGATCCAGAAGCACAACGTGTGTTCCTGGTGGATTAGCCAGGAGCTTCTTCCAGCAGTTTCAGTGGCTTATTAAGAGAGAAAACTCGATACACCATTCTCTGGCCTCTGCCACTCTCCCAACATTTGGTATCTGTACGTACACCTCCAGCTACACACTTAAAAGTGTTTCACTCGGACTGCACTTTATAATTTAGTTGAACAACTTTTCCAGGCCAGTTTTGCTCACTTTTTTTTCTACAATTTTTATTAAATTTTCTGTTTTACATTTTAGAATATTCATTTAAACAAACTTAAAATATCAGTGACTTCCCTTCTTCTCTTTCCATGGTTCTTTTTGCATAACATAAATCCCTGCATATCTTACATAAACTAAACCATTCAGTATTCCATTATTACATCCATCAAAACTTATTTACACTGTTGAATTTATCTTAACGCTGCCCATGTTTTCATATATACACAATTTTCCCCCATATATTCAATAAACATTTCCCAATCTTCTTTAAATGTATGTTCTTCTTGTTCTCTTCTTCTATATGTTAGGTCTGCAAGCTGCTCATATTCCATCAGTTTAAGTTGCCATTCTTCTTTAGTTCACTCATTTTCCACTTTGGGGCTAACAAAACAGGCCACAGCACTGGCGTACATAAATAACCTTTTTTTGACACTGGGGAATTTCCATCAGAATTATCCCCAACAAAAAGGACTCTGTGGGGAGGGGTTGGGGGGGGAATACTTTTAAACATTTTTTTCAATTCATTATGAATTATTTCCCAATATTCTTTTGCCATTTTACAGGTCCACCACATATGATAGAATGTACCCTCAGCCTCATTGAGACACTTTTGCTCACTAATCTGGTAGATAAAAACAGGGCATGGCAGTTATATATGGATATATTTAGCACATTCCCATCCTGCATTTCCTCCAAGGTGTCTTTGCCCCTCTGAGGTAGGTTAGACTGAGAGGTGGTGACTGGCCCAAGGTTACCCACTGAGCCCCATGGTTGAGTGAGGATTTGAACCCAGCTCTCCCAGGTCCTAATCTAACCACTATGCCACCCTGGCTCCCTTCACACAGGCTCTTCAACAAAGCTAGAAATGAAAACAGAATGAATAAATCGAAACTCTATTTGTATTTTTTGACTTATCTACCATACCATCCCTCAGGACAACCTTGGAATTTCCCCTAGCATTAACCCAGAATTCAGTAGAGACTTAAAGGGGAGGGAGCAGAAAGAATAAAGAAAGACAAGAACTAATCTAATGGCCCAGGAGAAAATAATAATAATTCAATATTCTTCGCCAGTCCCACCATCCCTGGAAAGGACAATGCTGGTGTAAAGGTAGTTGTTGGTGTGTTGGAGGTTAAATAAAATGTCAGTATATGAAACCTGGTTTGTCTTGGAAAGAAAACACATAAATGGCAAGGGTGCAAACGTATGCACACTTATGCTGGAGCAAGCTCCACTCAACTCTTTGGAACTTTATGAGTAAATATAAAAGGTATAAAGGTAAAGGACCCTTGGACGGTTAAGTCCAGTCAAAGACAACTATGGGGTGCGGCGCTCATCTCGCTTCAGGCCGAGGGAGCCAGCGTTTGTCCACAGACAGCTTCCAGATCATGTGGCCAACATGACTAAACCACTTCTGGCACAACGGAACACTGTGACAGAAACCAGAGTGCACGGAAACGCCATTTCCCTTCCCACCGCAGTGGTACCTATTTATCTACTTGCACTGGCATGCTTTCGAACTGCTAGGTTAGCAGGAGCTGGGACAGAGCAAAGGGAGCTCACTCCGTCACGGGGATTCGAACCGCCAACCTTCTGAATGGCAAGCCCAAGAGGCCCAGTGGTTTAGACCACACCGCCACCCACATCCCATGAGTAAATATGCATAGGGTTGCAATGAAAGTCACAAACTGGTCACAAGTCTAGCCTTTTAATTGTTCATACTGAGCACAAAACAGCATGAAAGCAATGGTGCCAGTTATTTAGGGACTATCGCACAGGATTACTACTGTTTCACAAAGCACACACACCACCTGCACACACACACACACACACACGAGCACTAGAGGTGTCACACTCTCCATTCATATCCCAGTGATTCCTCAGAAGCCCAAAACATCTTACAGAAACAGCCATTTTACAGGGAGGAAGGCAGTAAACCCATTTTACTTGTCACCAAAGATGCAGATTTATTCTTCTTTTGACATGTAACCTCCAGGATCAATGCTTTCCTTTCCCCCCAGGTAAATAAACAACATGCCAGTGTACTCCTTCCTGAAACTACGAATGATCAATGTCCACTCAGTGTTGTGTTGACCCACTGCTGCTAAATTGACCTAAACAACCGTCTATTGAGCAGAAACATCTTTTCCAGACCTGGCCAAATGGTCTGATTAAGAATCCATTGAGTCGCTTCCTTTCTTTATACACCCTACTGCGAAAAGAAAAACCACTTTAAAATTACCTTTGTCAAGCGGGAGATCTAGCTGGAATCGCCACTTTGTTAGTTCCTGATTGAGCTTAATGCTCCTAGAGGCAGGGTTGTCCTTCAACTTAGCCAAGTTCCTTTTTTTTTTGTCTTGTAAGGAAGACACATCCTGAACCCTGAGGAATCTTAGCAGGGAGATGCTCCTAACATCTGCTTAGTGGGCAGGCTTCGTTCCATATAGCCAGAAGGATCCATATCTGTTTGCATAATGGCGGGCTAGGGTGGTCGTTTGCTTTAGCAAGAAATGTGTAATCCTGTTTTGTACAAGAGCTGTTGATAGTACAAACTGCAGTAAGCTCTAAGAGCACAGAGCACACTTACTACTAATGATAGTTATAATAATAATTCCAGTTTGTTGGAAACTAATTGCATAAATATCTGCAAACAATATACAGCAGTAAAATAACTAGGAAGTTCTGAACCACAAGAACAAGCCATATGCAAAGCATCATAAAACATCAAGATACATAAAAATGCAACCTAATTAGAGTATAGAAGCATAAAAATATCACAAAAATATCGCAGCATGCATACAGTTCCCAAACTCGTTTTCCTACACATTCAAACTACACAAAACTAATCAAAGCTCACAATCTCCAAACATACTTTGTACCATATTTTTCGCTCTATAGGACGCACCCGACCATAGGGTGCACCTTGTTTTAGAGGGAGAGAACAAGAAAAAAAAATACTCCCCCTCTCTGCTCAGCGCCCCTTCAGCGAAGCAGCAGGAAAAATGGAGCACCTTCCATTTCTCCTCCCACTTAGCTGAAGGGGCGCTGCACAGCTCTCCCTCTCTGCTGAAGCCAGGAGAGTCTTGCTCTCCTGTCTTCAGCAAAAGGAACCTGAAGCCTCCGGAGTGCAGCGGGACTTCCCGCTGCGCTCTGGAGGCTTCAGGTGGCGATCCCTGAAGCCTGGAGAGCCAGAGGGGCGGTGCGCACCGACCCCTCTCGCTCACCAGGCTTCAGCGAAAGCAACACGTAGCCTCCGGAGCACGGGGGGAGCGCTCCCTCTGCGCTTTGGAGGCTTCGCGTTGCTATCGCTGAAGCCAAGGAGCCTGCATTCGCTCCATAGGACGCACACACATTTCCCCTTAATTTGGGGGGGGGGTGTCCTATAGAGCGAAAAAAATGGGGTGTGTCCTATAGAGCGAAAAATACAGTAGTACCGGCACCTCTTTCTGTTGTTGCGAAAAAGTGTGGCACTTACTATAACAACTATATGGTGAGTTTCTAGGAAAAGAGCACCCTGCAAGTAACTAATAATCAACCAATATGTATGTACCGTATGTACTCGAGTATAAGCCGGCCTGAATATAAGCCGAGGCACCTAATTTTACTACAAAAAACTGGGAAATCTTATTGACTCGAGTATAAGCCGGTTCACCACACCACAAACCTCCTGGTGGGCCAGAGTGTATGTGCGTGCGCATGCGCACACAGCAGAGGGGGCTTCTCTCTCCCCCCAGCCCCTCCCATCCCCCTGCCTACTTAGGGTGCTGCCGAGAGGCAGCGGCTGGTGGCGGCAGCGGCAGAGGAAGAACAAGCAGCCCAAAAGGGCTGCTTTCGGGCTGCTTGTTCCTCTGCCACCGCCAGCTTCTGCCCCTTGCAAGGGAAGGCACAGGAGCCACGCTTGGCAGAGCAGCAGCGGCATGAGCAGCGGCAGCAAACAGCTTGCTCCAATGAGGGGCTGCTGGAAATGAACTCGAGTGGGACCCTCACTCGAGTATAAGCTAAGGGGGGCTTTTTTCAGCATAAAAAATGTGCTGAAAAAGTCTGCTTATACACGAGTATATACGGTACATAAAAACAAGTCAATAACAAGGCATAGGATTTGACTGCAAATATCTATAGCTGGCAGCTTGATCTGAACAAATTGGACAACAGAGCAAGTTTAGGAGTTGCCATCTCTTGTAACTGTGTAAGTAAGTTCTTATTCACACATATCAGGGGGACTAAACCATGGTCCTCCAGATGTTCTGGGACTTCAACTCCCTTCAGCTGCAGCCAGCATGGTAATGGTCAGGGATGAGGAGAGTTACAGTCCAGCAGTCCAACTTTAAGCTTTGTTTCCCTCTGTTTTAAAAAAAGCAGCTAGCCTCAGCTTAAATAGTCACAGAATCCATAGTATGCGCAAGTCCACCTCTTCACAATCTTGTTCCTTCATTGCTGTTCTGAAGGCACAGTAGAGAGAGTGTCTACACTGGCTGGCAGTGACTCTCAGGGGTTTCAGACTGAGGTCTCTCCCAGCCCTTCTTGGAGATGCTGGGAATTGGACCAAGGGCCTTCTGAATGCAAAGCAGATGGTCTACCAATGAGCTACGACCCTTGGACTACTGCAATGCCCTCTACGCGGGGCTACCTTTGAAGGTGACCCAGAAACTACAACTAATCCAGAATGCGGCAGCTAGACTGGTGACTGGGAGTGGCCACCGAGACCATGTAACACCGGTCCTGAAAGACCTACGCTGGCACCCAGTGCGTTTCCGAGCACAATTCAAAGTGTTGGTGCTGACCTTTAAGGCCCTAAACAGCCTCGGCCCAGTAGTCCTGAAGGAACATCTCCACCCCCATCGTTCCCTCACTGTGAGAAGCCAAGTTACAGGGAACCAGGCAGAGGGCCTTCTCGGTAGTGACACCCGCCCTGTGGAACGCCCTCCCACCAGATGTCAAAGAGATAAACAACTACCAGACATTTAGAAGACATCTGAAGGCAGCCCTATTCAGGGAAGTTTTTAACGTGTGACATTTTAATGTATTTTTAATCTTTGTTGGAAGCCTCCCAGAGTGGCTGGGGAAACCCAGCCAGATGGGCGGGGTACAAATAAATTATTATTATTATTATTATTATTATTATTATTATTATTATTATATATTCAACACAAGAAAACAGTTACAATTTGTTGTTGACAAAGGACAGCTGGACATATAAAGGGCCCCATTACCTTCAGTAGCTTAGGGCCTAATCAAACCTAAATCCGGCCCTGGTAAAGAGAATATGTTTCAGAACAGGATCCTACAGGTGTTGGTTTTCTTGCCTCAGTTCAGCTGTTGTCTTCAAGTTTCTTTAGAGTTTGCCCGCTGCTTGTACTAATAAAACGGAATCAAGGTGCTTATAAGGGAATGAGGCAAGCCTTTAATTCAGCAGGTTATAGGCCATAGTGAACTATGATGTGGACTTCGTTTCCAAGACACACACATGATGGAAAACTGGGAAATATCGATGAACATGTCGTGAACCCAAGCAATGTTGACATCCTGCATCAAAGGGATCCCACAGAAGAAACAGTTTGAACTGCAGTATTCATGACGAAGACAGTTTTTGGGAAGCAGAATTGCACAGCCATTGGAAGATAACTAGTCGCTATTGTAGAAACCAAGGCAGTAAATCCATTTTCCATTTCCTTTCTGGACCTACTAAAGCCGTCACTGACTTATCAGGTCACCAGGCTGGTCAAAAAAGGCATAACAGGTGCAGGAAGGCAGACATAAGTCAAGGTCTCTGGTAGCAGCATCACATAAGACCCTGACAGTCAGAGATTTGACAGAGCCCATCAACTTGTACTGGAAATAAGTGCAGTCCATTACAACCCCCAATTCAGCTGCAAAAAGTTTGCCTTTTCCCAAAGCCAGGCTAAAAAACATAACTGCAGCATTCCAAATATGTGGTTCTGACAAACACTTCCTTGATTTCAAGAACTTTGAGGACTGGCCTGCCTAATATCTCTCCTTTCTTTTTGGGGGAGGTGTCTGTTTTTTCTCCTTTAGAAAACACTGAAGACGCAATACGCGAAATGAGGAGCCCAGAAGAAAAGACTGCCTTCATCCTGGCGAAAACCTCACATGAATATGTACTGCCCGAGCCATCGAGTTCAGCACTAATGTTAAGATAAAAGGGAGAAAGAAAGAAGAAGCCATTTACCTGTCATTTAGACTGCTACATTTCCAGATCCTGTTAAACACAATAATTACACTGCAAATTGGCATTGAGCAACAAATGTAGCAAAATTGCAGAGCCCGACTTTTTATGGTCCTTCTCTTTTTTCCCCCCGCAGATTTTGTCTTCCTTACAATCGGTTTCCAGGATAATTGTGCCTCCCTTTGTTGAAAATGATGACTGTACTTACGTAGTGCCCTCAAGAAGGCGAAACTGCATGCCTCAGTGAATTCTATCATCATTTCACCCCCTAATGAGAGAGATTGTTTGCAGGCAGATGAAATTAAATTGTAAGCTCTATTGACTTCAACAACAGGTGCCATTTGTGAAGACCCAAAGGGAACTATTGAATTGTCAAAAAAGATTTAACTCTTCCCAGCACAGAGGCATCAGATAATATTTCCTTGGTGTTTGCACATCACAAGGCATTAGCTCACGTAAACATCCACCACTAATAGTGGAGGCAATCGCATCACTGGGAAAATGGCCAAAAAGGATTGAACCAACCGGGAACAGATTGTCTTCAGTTTTCTGATTTTCAAGTTGCAGCAATCAAGGAAGAACAGAATGAAACCGAGGAAGAAACAAGCTTAAGGCTTTTAACTTACCTAGGTCTAAGCCCCACTGAATTCAGCAGGACTTACTTCTGGGTAGGTCTGGTTAGGATTGTGCTGCAATTCATTCTTTCCAACTGTTTGAAAAGAAAACAGAAACTTGTGTGTCGAGGTCCCCAGGGCCACCCCAAATAACTTACACATCACACAGAAATTTTGTTTAAGGTTTTTGGCATAATTTTGGCCACAACTTTATTAAAATACAGAAATGTGAGTGGTTGCTTAGGCATTGGTTGCGACTATCTGTCCCCCCCAGTGGGGGACAGACTGACATTCCGCACGCCTGCGAAAGTCAGAAAAGGGGAATACACTTGGGGGTAGCGACGGAGCAGGGAACCTGCCCTCAGCCCTCCCCAAATGCAACCAGGGGCTCTTGTATGGCCCTAGCCCCTTGACAGGGTTGGACGAAAGCAATAGTGAGCCCCTGTATTCCTTTAACAGAATCCCTTGCAGCAGCAGCATTAGAGGGGCAGGCACAGCCAATCCATGTTCCTCAACCAACCAAACCATAATCCAATGCCTAACCACAACCTTACAAGTTGTGATGATTTGCTACGCAGTAGGCAAAAACCAAATGGCCCCAGCCAATCACCCAGATGGACAAAATTCCTACCGGGCCCCTGCCCCAAAAGCAGATGACCCCATGACAGGCATAGCGAGGTCAAAGCGAACAACCCTAAATATAGGGGGGGGCGGGCAATCCGATGCACGGGCGAAAAGAGGAAGTTCTATGCCTCGTGCAGGGAGTTTTAGCATTTCTGGCTGTCAATCATCAAATGGCAACGTTAACTTCTTCCCAACAAGGGAAGCCCAATCACAACAGTGGCCACGATCAATTAGCCCGCCCCACAACTTTGGAGTGTCCTGTCTGCCTCCACCGCAACACGTGCTCTCCATGAAGGAGAACACACTTTAACTGTTGCTTTGGGCTGAGGAGGAGAGAAGGGGAAGGGATTTTCATTCAGGAAGAAAATGTAAGGAAATTCTTTTTAAAGGCTGACTCCAGGTATTGCCCATGTCAGATTTTTTTTCTTGAAGAGAAGTTAAAGAGCATTGAAGACACTGTACAATCCCACCAATTGGTCAGGGACATTGAGAATTGTAGTCTAGCAACTTCAACAGCCACAGGCTCCCCATCTCTGACCTAGATACTGTATTCACTTCCAACCCACAATGCTTGAGATCATCCCATGAGATCTACATGTTCTCAATTTGAGTTCCTGACAAAGTTTTTCCTCAACAGTCATTGACATATCAACCTTCCAACTACGATTTTCTAAAGTGTTCTTGGACTGTATCATCATTCTTCAAAACTAATCAAACTTGTACAGTACACACCCTTGCTTTCTTCACTCAACCCAAAGTCCAAGAAGAAACAAACTAGTCCTCTGAATGTTTTTCACTTCTTGTTAATTCCTGCCCTCGTCAGAGCATTGCAATCTTCCTGGAGAATCCTCCCCATTTTGAACATAATTTGATATTTGAGTGATGTGAAGAACAATTAAATACTTATGCATTACGTAACATCAAACGTCTCCTTGGAGATGAAGTATATGCAAATGATAATGTCTTATGGTCATGGTTAAAATTATTTAATTTCAACTTGAAAGTGGAGAGATTTTGCAACAGCATGATATATTTGATCCAATGAAATAATCAAACCAGTCTTGTATCACATTAGCGGCAATTTATCTCTCCTGCCAGAAGGGGAAAATATATTCCAGCTGCAATAAATGGATTTATGTCTCCCATAACTATTTCTTTCTGCTGAAATATTCCACATTCATTTATTTATGGAAAGTATTTTTACCCTGTTCTTCAGCCAAAAGGGCTTCCACAGTTGCTTAGGTATGATCAATAAAGACAAGACAGTCCTTGCCCATAGGCATGCCATCTAAAATACATGACACAAAAGGAAGAGGGGATGGCAAGGGGAGAAGAAAAAAGAAAACTCACACACCAATCCTTTAAAAATATTTCTTTTAATGACCATCTTGAAATACAGAGATGGTAGCTCTAAACATCAAACAGAAAGTGACAGCTGTAGCATCTCTGTGGGAGATGATTGTAGGGAAGTGTGACAACTCAAACTTTGGCTCCTCCTTCCCTCCCTCCCCCAATTTTACTCATTGGTAGTTATTACAGGCAAAATAGCTCACCTGCCTGCAGCTGAAGCTGGAAGAAAGCTCTTGAAGGAGCCATGATCACATGTCACATAGGACTCCTGCGACATATATCCAAAGATGTATGCCCACAATACAAAAGCAGAGTCCAAGCAAAAGCTAGGCATTGGAGGTGTGGGTTTCTAAGCTACTTTATTATGTACAAAACAGAACAAAAGAAAACATGGCTCCTCTCTCCTTCTTCATCTCCGAGAGAGCAGAAAAGCAATAGTACAACATAATGGAACAATGTAGCTCATGGGTAGGCAAACTAAGGCCCAGGGGCCGGATGCGGCCCAATCGCCTTCAAAATCTGGCCCACGGACGGTCCAGGAATCAGCATGTTTTTACATGAGTAGAATGTGTGCATTTATTTAAAATGCATCTCTGGGTTATTTGTGGGGCATAGGAATTCGTTCATTTCCCCGCCCACACACAATATAGTCCGGCTCCCCACAAGGTCTGAGGGACAGTGGACCGTCCCCCTGCTGAAAAAGTTTGCTGACCCCTGGTGTAACTGAACTTCCGTTCTCATGACTCCAACAGTATGGAATGTCAACACAGACATGTGATGAAAACAATCACACATCCTGCAACGGAGAGGAATGAAATCCCAACACTTTTTATGGTGCATTCATGATTACTTCTGCTCATGATACTGTCATGACATACCCAATCCCCTTTCAAAACAGTTTGTGCCTCCAAAAGTTTTGGGCTTTGTTTCCAATTAGTGCACATCCTGCAACTGCCTACTCAAATCCTATAGCTTTTCTATCACAAATGTTCTGGCTTGTTGTTTTTCCTCTGGTCCAGCTTTAATTCCGGTATAGCCCCTCCAGAAAGCAAGAATGTGCTAGCACTGGGGAAGGACCACAGAACAATTAATAAAGCCACACACCCTGAGGTTAACTCAGGATTGCCTCAAAGGCTTGCCTTCGAAAAGGCACCAGCTACCAATAGAAGAGCAGAGTGTTTTCACTCTTTGAGTAGATGCGAACAAGGGCACCCTAAACAGAAGGAACTCCTGCATACACTGTTATAGAACATATTTTCTTTGCTGCCTAACAAAGCTTTGTTTTCTTTCACCGCTGCTCATTCTCAGAGCCATTTCACACACAGAAGGGCAGCCTGTCACATTACCTGGTGCAGAACAGGACTGGAAACCTGCCAAATCTGGAGCATGTGAGCAGGGGTGTAGAAATGCATGCAGTGCTATTTTTCTATAAAAAGAGGTGCCAGAACTCACCATGAGCACCTCCCTTGTTCTCTTATAAGAAGAAGAAGAGTTTGTTTTTGATATCCCGCTTTATCACTACCAGGAGGAGTCTCGAAGCGGCTAACATTCTCCTTTCCCTTCCTCCCCCACAACAAACACTCTGTGAGGTGAGTGGGGCTGAGAGACTTCAGAGAAGTGTGACTAGCCCAAAGTCACCCAGCAGCTGCATGTGGAAGAGCAGGGAATCGAACCCGGTTCACCAGATTACGAGTCTACTGCTCTTAACCACTACACCACACTGGCAACGGCACCCACCTGAGAGGTATCAGAACTGAGTTCCCATAAGTTCCAGGTGGGGGGAAAATCCATGGGCATAGTACAATTCCCCTGGTACATGTGATCTCTGTCCATGAATAATTGGTTTAGAACCGATTTGTTATCCCACTTCAAAATCAAGGAAGTGATGCAAGATACATCCACGCTATAGATTTTGTTGGCTTCTGTCTGTCTCGGGAGACAATGGAGGAATGCTCCTTTAAAGGTGAAGTCAAACTGTTGGAAGGTTACAGCACCTGCTGTGGCTGGAAATACCGATACAGGAGAGACATGTTTTGTTGCAGCTAGGGCAGATGAAGGCATCCAGTTTCGCTGTTACAGATGCATCATGGTGTTTCTTCTCTCTGTGCTCCTCGTCCTCTGGTCACTGCTGTGGATACACAAACTGACGGTCTGTCTCCAGGCACTGTGTTCAGGGTTCAGGCAAGGGATTCCCACACGGTGGGGATAATAATAAATAATAATAATAATAATTTATTACTTATACCCCACCCATCTGGCTGGGTTTCTCCAGCCACTCTACAGAATATTAAAAACCCAATAAAACATCAAACATTAAAAACTTCCCTAAACAGGGTTGCCTTCAGATGTCTTCTAAAAGTAAGATAGTTGTTTATTTCCTTGACATCTGATGGGAGGGCGTTCCACAGGGTGGGCGCCACCACCGAGAAGGCCCTCTGCCTGGTTCCCTGTAACCTCACTTCTTGCAGTGAGGGAACCGCCAGAAGTCCCTTGGAGTTGGACCTTAGTGTCTGAGCTGAATGATGGGGGTGGAGACGCTCCTTCAGGTCTACTGGGCCAAGGTCAACTGAGTTGATGTTGCCAGCCTTCATGTCATGCTTGCAGGCATCTTTGTCAATGAGAGCCAGTGTGGTGTAGTGGTTAAGAGCGATAGACTCGCAATCTGGGGAACTGGGTTCGCGTCTCCGCTCCTCCACATGCAGCTGCTGGGTGACCTTGGGCCAGTCACACTTCTCTGAGATCTCTCAGCCCCACTCACCTCACAGAGTGTTTGTTGTGGGGGAGGAAGGGAAAGGAGATTGTTAGCCGCTTTGAGACTCCTTTGGGTAGTGATAAAGCGGGATATCAAATCCAAACTTCTCCTCCTCCTCCTCCTCCTCCTCCTATGGGCCTAGTGCCTGAAGCCAGCTCCCCATAGGGTAATGGCACCTTCCATTCTGTCAACATGACCAAACCAGGGGAGACGTTTCTGAGACAGGAGCGCAAACATGCTGGGAAATGTGGGCTTGAGAGAGTCCATCTGTGTTTGAGACTCCGTCCTGCCATGTGATGCCCAAAATCTTCCTGGCAAAGTGCATGCGGAAGGCGCTGAGGCATCGCTCACACCGCTCATGGTTTCCCCCCAAGAATCCCAGGAACTGCAGTTTACCCTTCATGGAGCTATAATTCCTAGCACCCTTAAACTATAGTTCCTAGGGTTCTTTGAGGGGGGAGCCATTTGTTTTACATGTGCTTATGCTTAAGGTGTACTGTTTGGGTGAGGGCATGGTGTGTGCTGCCAAATACAGTGGTACCTCAGGTTACATATGCTTCAGGTTACAGACTCTGTTAACCCAGAAATAGGGCTGCAGGTTAAGCTTCAGGATGAGAACAGAAATCGTGCTCTGGTGGCGCAGCAGGAGCAGGAGGCCCCATTAGCTAAAGTGGTGCTTCAGGTTAAGAACAGTTTCAGGTTAAGAATGGACCTCCGGAACGAATTAAGTACTTAGCCTGAGGTACCACTGTACAGCAGTTCTTTCCAAGGATATCAGGACAAAAGGAATGAGGAGGTGGAAGGGGAACCAAAACAGTTTTATTAACAAATATAAACAGCAGGCATGCAAAGCATTAAATAAAACACACCTGACAGGGGCTACCCAATCTCCCCTTCAGCTGCCCGGAGCCCCAGGGAGAGCAGCAGGAGAAAGACCTCTGACCGTCGGTCTCCCAGCATCAGGTCCTTTGATCTGGGTAGAACCTCTTCAGCCCCCCACCACCACCACCTATGGCTTTTATAGCCTGCCTTGATGTAATCAAGTGCACCTGGCATTGCTCATGATTAGCCCAGGACCCTGAGATGGAACTAATACAGAGCGGCTGAGAGTCTCCCACTACCTGCAGCCGGGCATCCAGCCAGCACTTGCAACACAGAAGAACCCAAGAAACTCCCGACAGGTGTGTGAAACACAAGACTCAAACTGGGGATGTTAAAGGGAAAGGGACATGCCACCTAACTCCTCAAAATACAATTGTCTTCCGCATTTCCACTACATGGTGTGGTTCAACTTAGGCCCCTATCATTTTTTCTGCCAAGCAACTGGGAAAGACCAGTTTCTTTCCACCCAGGCCCAAGCAACTGGCCAAGTATAACTCACTCCTGGAAAGTAGTGAAAAGCTTTGTGCTTGCTGGTAACTAACAAAAGCTCTTTCTCCAGTAGCTGATCCTCAGATTCACTCCATTATTCACCGGCAGAAGGGTAGGGGGGATAGAATGGGGGGGAAATTTATGGCCTGCATTTGCACAAAAATCATGGTTTCCTAATGCAGGTTTAAATAGACAACCAGCGGGTTTTCTGCATAACAAGTATTTTTTTGCCATTTTTGTGTAGCAATGGTTGAGTATGTATGAGCACACACAGGAAGACAGAGCCTGGAGAGACATGCGGGCATAACTATTACAGGCATTGTCTCCTGCCTCCTGGGGACAGCCCAACCACCAAGTCACGCTCCTCTCAAATAGCAAGCGGGTTGCGTGCTACCTGGTGAGATAATGCCTGTTTCATTCGGGTAAGAAGAAGGAAAATGTGTTAATAACATCTCTGACATTTAATGATGTTTCTTTCACTTTTTAACACATCATTGCACAGATATTGAATCCATTCATTTCGGTAATGGACTCGACTTCTGCAAAGCGTTCCTCCCCTTAAAATAAATAAATAAATAGATGCAAACAACAAGGGGAGGGGGGAGCGGGTGCGAATTGCAACAGGGCTCTTCTCTTGCCCTTCCACCACACTGTACATGGCATTTGGCATTTTGCAAGCTGGGCTCTATTCCATTTGGTCCCCTCCGTCTCAGTGAAGTATCGATTTCGCACCCCCTGTATTGCTATCGTCCAGTTTTCAAATGAAACGGCATGTATGTCAGACCCTTTCAGTTCAAAATAAACTATTTTCAATTGTACTGATGTAGCTGAAGTCCAGGAAAGAGAGAGAGAGGGAGCAGGGGGAATCTTCAACGTGACACTTTCACAACCCCCAGGCAATGCAGGAACATAGGAAGCTGCCTTATAATGAGCCAGACCATAATGAACCAGTTCATCTGGCTCCATGTTATTGTTATAAGAATTCTAAGGTCCCAAATATAAAATAAACGTTCATAAATGTACAAGGCAAACACAAACATAAGTATATAAACTACATGTCTGAAATAATACAGGAGAGCAATCCTGAAGCCATTTTGACTCTCCCAAATTGACCTCAAATATGACCTCTGCAAGGAGGAAGAAAATGGGAAAGCCTCTCCGTTGTCTTTTGCTTACCTGTCTTAAGAGCATATTTGTGTATGAATGGGTTGAGTTTGTGACCTGGATTCGGGAACTAAAAGTATTTACCATCACACAAAAAATGGCCAAGCTGCCCAGGTAAAGCAATCAGTGACCATTAACAGATATGCTGGCAAACAGGATTTCTGCTGTAGACCACCTCCTGTGAAGTAGACTGCCCCCTTCTGTGATGTATGTATGATGTTTAGGGGGGTGGTCTGGGGCCACAGGGTGGGCAATTTCAAAAGTCTGTACAGTGGTGCCTCGCAAGACGAAATTAATCCGTTCTGCGAGTTTCTTCGTCTTGCGGATTTTTTCGTCTTGCGAAGCACGGATGCACCCTGGTACTGTATTATAATGGGATAGCGGGCAAAGCACAAAGCGGGTCGCTCCCCAGCAGGAGGAGTTTCCCCAGCCTGGAGGATCTGCTGCCGGGAAGAGGCAAAGACACCCCCTCCCACCTCCCCACGAAAACAGTCCCCCTTCCTCTGTCGCCAAGCCTTGCCGCGTCTTCGCTCCGCCAAACCGCGTCCCACATCAAAGCCCCAGCCCGCTCCTCTCCCTCTCTCTCCACGAGGTGCCAAAGGAAGTTTGAGCCCAGGAACCGAGGGCGGACGCACGCCGCGCCCGGCGCGGACTCTCCCTTGCTCCCCCCGTTACCTTGCGCCACGCCGCCGGGCTCCCCACAGTCTCGGCAGCTGCTCCCGGCTTCTTCCCACCCCCGCAAAGGCGCCTTCGCGGCGGCCCAAGCGCAGTGGATGCCTCCTCCTCCTTTGTCCCGCCTCCTCCTGCCTTCACGCAGTTAGGGCAAAATGGAGCAGCCACGTGGGGAGGGGGAGAGAGAGGCAGAGGCGGCTGCGGCGGCGCAGAGACCCAGCCAGATCCACTGGATCCCAGCCCACCTGCCTCCTCTGTGCCCTCTCCAGAAGAGGATCCCTCTGGAAAAGGTAGGTCGCTCCCTCACTCGCTTGCTCCCTGCCAGCCCAGTTCCCGCTTCAAAAGGAAACAAACTCGCAAGACGTTTCGTCTTGCGAAGCAAGCCCATAGGGAAATTCGTCTTACGAAGCAGCTCAAAAACCGCAAAACCCTTTCGTCTTGCGAGTTTTCCGTCTTGCGAGGCATTCGTCTTGCGGGGCACCACTGTATAGGGGCTGAAGATAGGAGTACCTGGCATGCTCTGGTTCATGGGGTCAGAAGGAGTCGGACACGACTAAAGAACAACAATATAGGGGCTTGCGCACCATTGCTCTGGGTTCCTCCTCGCTCCTGCATATGGTGAGTGAGGACCTTGTTGCAACAGTTTAATAAAGATCAGGCTTACCAGCTGCTTTGCTTCTCAATATTCTTGGGTCGGCCTATGTTATTTTCTTCTACTGATAGGGAACCCACTTAAGGACTCTATATGGGCTCTTGGATACCCCATAAGGGAAAAGGAGCAGGTTTTTTCTATAACATTATCTACATTGACTAGTGTCTACCTAGTGTCAGGGGACGATTCCAGTCCTGGAGATGCCAAGAATTCAACCTTCTACATGCAAAAAAGATGCTTCACCTCACCCACAACTGTTTTATTTTGTTTGCAAAATCCTTTTTCCACCCTTGCGTGTATTTCAGATATTAACATTGTGCAGGTTGAAGTGACTGGGAGCATAAGAACTAACTCTTTTTGGGAGAAATCATTGTCCGGACCCATAAAAATATTATTCAAACTGTTACCTGCAGAACTCTTCAAAAACAGAACAGAAGTATCAAAGACGCATCCAAAATATCCATACAATGTCTTGTGCTGTCCAGCACAGGCTCAGCATCTTAGAAATAAAAGATAATGCAAAAAAAACTCCCAAAAAACCTGTGTCTCTCTCCCCTATTCCAGGCTGCCTTAGTCTCCCCAAGGCTATGTAGCTTCTTGGACAGCTTTGTTCTCTGTTGCGTTCCGAGAAAAACTAACAGCCACCACCCTTTCAATATGGCAAATTTGCAACTCAGTACCTTTGTCACCTGATCTAAGGTTACAACGCTCACATGTTAGCTAGTAGAAAACAATTGTTAGTTCATTTTCAACTCAGCAAGAGCTCAGAGTCCACTTAGAAAACCACTGTGGGGAAACCTAAATGTTAGCAATACATATTTAGCCTTTTTCCATTTTAAACCTTCATTAATACACACACATTTTCCATTTCTATGTCAATGAAACCAATTATACTTAACACCGTGAGTACAGCTTCACAGTCTGTATGACACAAGGACCTGGCTTCCATTGTGAAGTCATGTTGCCATGTGCTTCCTCCATTGGCACCAAGGAGTTACTGGAGCATTGTCTCTCTCCATGTTCTATGAGCTCAGAGATGTGTTTTATTAAGAAACAAGCTAACCAAAAACCTCTAAGGGGGGCGTTATCCTGCAGCTCTTACCTGACCTTTAAGGTTTTAAGTAAGCAATCATCTCTGGAAATGCTGACGTAATCCATATTTTATCCACACATTAATCCTTGATTATACCTTATCAGATACCAGTTTAGGTCTTACACCTTTTCATTCACATTCTTCCTCTCATTGTTGATCACCTCCAACCCAGGCAATAGAGCAGATGTTATCTTCAACAGTGCTAAGCATGCTGAGGACCTTCAGTAAGCAATAAGAGGAAATATGAGAGAGCTCTGATCATATGGCACATGGTTCCATCCATTGTGCCTGAACATATTCAGTATAGTTCTAGCACATTTTGTCAGATGCCGAGAGGTTTGCGCCAGAATACCTAGCCCCCCTTGCTACCAGTTGGTCCCAAATTCAGGTAGGTAGCCATGTTGGTCTGACACAGTCGAAATAAAAGCTTATACAGTGGTACCTCAGGTTACATACGCTTCAGGTTACAGCCTCTGCTAACCCAGAAATAGTGCTTCAGGTTAAGAACTTTGCTTCAGGATGAGAACAGAAATCGTGCTCTGGCGGCACGGCAGCAGCAGGAGGCCCCATTAGCTAAAGTGGTGCTTCAGGTTAAGAACAGTTTCAGGTTAAGTACGGACCTCTGGAACAAATTAAGAACTTAACCTGAGGTACCACTGTACCTAGAACAAACTTAGTTGGTCTCTAAGGTGCTACTGGACTACTATTTTAATTTTTTATTTCGAGTTGGTGGCCAAAGGCGGCATAATTTTGGAGAAAATTTGGCCAATGTAGAGCATCCGGATATAAGGAATAAATAGAATTAATTGATACAAAGGACATATAAACAGAAGTAATAGCTGGAACTGATAGTGCTCAGACAGAAGTAAAACATACCCAGAAGTGGCATATTTGGGGCAAAATTTGACCAATCTAATTATAATAAAAGACATTAAGACAGATAGATCTGATCATAGGAAGTGCAAGAAAACCTTTTCATTTGAGTGAAAATGGTAATGTGATCTTATATTCAATGGCTAACTGATAAAAAATAAATATTGAAAGAGATCAGTGGTGCTTATTTCCCTTTGCTGATGCACCCCCCAAAAAGGGCGCTTAATCACATTTTGAAACAAAAACGGAAACCCCACACCAAATATTTTGCATTTCCATCAGTGCAAGATTTGCCACCTATAAACTAGCTAGGAAATATTATCCCAGCAATTCTGGCCAGATTCTGGTCCCTCAGATGATCACGCCAGCTGCCTTCAGAAGAATCCAACAATGAATATTGGCAGGTTGGGGAAGGAATGGTCTGTGGAATTTAAAAGCAATCTAATTTGGTCTAATGGTGAAAGCATCACCGATCTTATTTTAAAAGCCTGAATATAATGTGATGGGAGTGGGATTCCCAGAACCACTCCCTGTACAGTCTCCATGTAAACTAGAATAAAGATTAAACCTAACCATTTGGAGTGGGGTTGTGGAAATGAACCTGGATTCCCTGTTGCATCTATGAAACATCTGCATACTTACTGAAGAGAACAGGGAAGACTGTGTGCATCTGGAACACCATATGTTCATCAGAGGCAGCTGACCACAGCCTTGAATAATATTTCAAATCCCACAATCACCCCAACGCAGCAAAGTACACCTGGGTACCAATGAAGCACCTCATCTATATCACAATGTGCATCAGACCCTGCTGAACATTTTGCTTGCACCTTTTAATTAGGGTTGCCTGTGGTTTAAACCACTGAGCTTGCTAATTGAAAGGTCAGCAGTTCGAATCCCTGCGACGGGGTGAGCTCCCATTGTTTGGTCCCTGCTCCTGCTAACCTAGCAGTTCAAAAGCACGTCAAAGTGCAAGTAGATAAATAGATACCGCTCCGGCAGGAAGGTAAATGGCGTTTGCGTGCGCTGCTCTGGTTTCGCCAGAAGCAGCTGGCCACATGACCCGGAAAAACTGTCTGCGGACAAACATTGGCTCCCTCAGCCAGTAAAGCAAGATGGGCGCAGCAACCCTAGAGTCGTTCACGACTGGACTTAACTGTCAGGGCTCCTTTACCTTTTTATACATCTGGGAATTCCCGGACATGTCCTCTTTTGGGGGTCCTACATGCCCATGCGGGGGGGGGTTAAAGCAAATATCCTGCATTTTGAGGTTTTGTTTTCTAAAAAAAAAAGTGTTTAAAAATAGCTCAACAACTTCTTGTGTCTGGATTTTTACCTCTTAAAATATGGCAACCCTATTGTCAGGGGCTGGACTGAGGAGGAATTGGGGGGCTTCGCCCCCTTCCCCAGAACCAAATGGAGTCCGATCCTAGACCGCATGGCACAGATATCTAGCCACTTCCAGTTCCTCAGAATTTGCCACCTGAGGCAGCTACCTGACTCTGCCTCATGGAAGGGTCGGTCCTGCAGTTCGCATTCCAGGCTGTGGAATGAGCCTGTATTGGAGTAACCAGCTCAAGGTCTTCATGGACCAAATATCCCTGACAACGGAAGCATAAACCAAGCTAAGAAAAGTGACAACTAATTGTTTGCACCAGAAATAACATTGCCACCATTGGTGAAGTGATAAAGGGAGGGTTTTTTTTGTTTTTGGGTTTGTTTGTTTTTTTGGTAGTAAGGCATAGCTGGAGAGTAGCTATTTTGCTACCCTGGCTGGCGAGTTTCGTGCACTGCTAGAGCTCAAGTCTTCTAAATGGCGCATCCCTGTTCCACCCTCACATTCATCTCAGAGGGAGAGGTGCTTCTCAGCACTTGCCCTCAATTTGGTTTTATCATCCTCA